AAAATTCTTCTTTTAGTTTGAAAAATAATTTTCTTCAAATTTTTCATACGAATAAAAATATTTTTCAATATTATTATTACAATTATTATATTATTTCAATATTATATTATATATATTAAAGAAGAAATATGTTAAAGGATATTATAATAAAGTTATCTGCGAAATTCATTAAAAAGAAAAAAAAAAATCATTAGCATTTTTTAGCGTTATAAAATTTTATTACAATTTGGTATTAAAGTAAGAAAAAGTAAAAGTAATCAGGGACACAAATGTATACTCCGGTGAAACGTATTCAAGCGAGTCTTATGAAAGATTCATCGATCGAGTGCGCGGTAAAAAGGGAACGAACTTCGATGATTGGCGACAAAAGAAAGAATCTTGGTCAAAGGTTCATGAACTTTCGATTACCAAAATGCTGCGCAATTCCATTTTTTTTCCTCTCGTTTTATGTTCCTCTTTATGAAACTGTTTCGCTATGTTCTCAAGTTTTTTTTCTTTTTTTTTTAATTAAAAAGAAATTATATTCCTTTATCTCTTTCAACTGTAATCCACCATGCTGTTGAGACGATTTTAATGCATATTTTAAATACATTATATACTTCATCAGATATTATATTACCAGTTATGAATAAATACGTATGCTACTAAATTTAGCAATGGAATATGTTCTGCAATATTGTACGTCATTCATTCTAAATGTCACTTATATATTCAAAACTTCTGCAAGTGTCATCCATTTTTCTTCTTTTAAGTTAACAATCACGAACATTGTTATGGATAAAATAAAAAATAAATAAGAAAGGTATTAATATAAATTTGTCATACAATTATATGTCAACACACGATTATCGATTTTAGAATCGATTGTATGTTCTTTATAATGTGAATAATATAAATTATACTATAAATTTCTTTGATTTCTAGTTCATAGAATTTAATGGAATTTAAAATATTGAAAGCATTTCATAATATTCTTTATTTTTCTGATGTAAACATATTATGTTATAAATTTTATAAAATGTTATAAAACTAGTTGTTAGTAAAATCTTTGATAAATTGAACTAGTATAATTAATTCCATTCACCTATCTATGAGATGCTTGTTTTACATGTTCTTTGCTAACGAATCGAATAAAGTCTCTGACGAATGTAAGGCGATAACATCTGACTACATTAAAAGGATAAGAAAATCAATGACAAGGTATTCGTATTAAAATTTGAAATCATTTTAAACCAAAATTATTTGCTGCATAAATATATAAATATAAGTAAATCAAGGACACTGAATTTATTTTTGCTTGATGATAATTATTTCTTTGCTTATTTCTTTAAAATAACGAAAGGACTATCTCCATTCATTTCTATATGTTGTTTAATTCATCCAAAATGTATTTATCTATTTATTTTATTTGTTTAAATGATTCAAAATAATTGTAGACTTTCATTTGAAATAATCATCATCTGAAATAATTGTAGATATTATTTCTGAATTATATTTCTGTAAAGTTTAGAATTTTTCTGAAACTTTGAATTTGAATTGAATTTTTCTTGGAAGTTATGAATAAGTCAAATGATTGAATAACTTCTATCTTCTTATTCAAATTAACTCGTATATTCATGTAAATTATGTATTTCTTTTAGTTTATTTACATAACAAAAATTTGCTGAAATCGTTATAATAATTTTTGATATAATATTTGACAAAGATGCAATTATGCAATTGATTTTTGAAATATATAAAATGATTGCATAAAATATACTTATAATACTGTAAATCCTATAATAATTTTAAAATTTCATACTTTCATTTATTGCGTCAATTTCAGAATTATAAACGTGACAACTAAATAAGAAAAACAGGAGATTCAATAAGTTGAACAGTAAATCTAGTGAACAGTTGAGTCTAAGTGAAATCGCTTGTGGTATAAAAAGAAAAATAAGAACGTGCAACTGTCATATATTAACAAAATAATTACTGTAAACTGTTAGCGTGAAACCGGTTTTACAATGTTAGTTAAAAAAATAAATAAATAAATAAAAATGAAAAATTTACCTGCCAACAGTTCCAAGACTTCCTCTCTTCTTGTCGGGAAGACAATAGTCTGGACTTTTAGTGGTGTATAATAGATTATCGTGATGATACAAGGGTGGTAATCTGCCTCCTGATCTTGGTCGTACTTCTGCTGCAGTTGCATATCTTCGAAGCAAACGACTTCCTGCTGCTGCCGGCCCTGAAGAACCAAGCCCTCTCCAACAGGTACGTACACTGCATGATCCAGATACTCCATGACACTTACATTCAAGGGTCAAGGATTGTTCCACTGCCTTATAATGCATAAAGATAAACTTTAATTGACAAACTTGGAAGAAAATAAAAAACAAATTTTGGTGTTTTTGATATAAAAATTACTTTTACATACCATATATTCAGAAATTATACATATAATGCAAATAATATTATATTAAAATTTCGTGCAAACGAAAAAAATATCACTGAAAAGTTGTTTCATTAATATCAATAAATGCCCCCTTTTTTTTTATATCAGTATTCAATTATTTCGATTACCCTTCGACCCGCTCGGTTGTTGTGCATGTTAACAGCGTGCATAAACTTCGCGGTTGCACCTGTGCCTGGAGGCGTTGCGCCTTGGAGAAACCTCTTGGCCATTCTGGACGCCGATCTAACGTCATCGCCGCAACCGCCCCATTTGAAAGAATTTCTGGCAGACAATGTTCCAAAAGAGACAGATGTCGCAGTGAAAGATGAAGGTGAGATCAAGGCAGAAGGTGATGGAGGCTCCCTTCGTGGTGGTGTGGCACAGGAACATGCTGCAAGACTGCCCAGAGCGCATCCTCTCGCTAACCTCCAAACTGCAGCTGCTGCTGACATTGCATATACGAATGCTTGTTCCCTGGTTCCTATTATAAGAAAACAAAACATTTTTCTTATATTTTTCATTTCATTCTTATTTTTTATTATTGCATTAAGTTAATAAAGTTAATGAAATATAACTTTTTAATTATTTGAATAAAAAAATGAAATTAAATCAAAATATTATCACCTTCGTAACAGACATTGTACAATTTGCTCTCTAAATAATTTTCTTAACAAATTTGCGTCGTATTTTATTTTTGTTATGTAAGAATTTGTTACCTAGGCTTTATTGATTAGTAAAATGTCGTGAATCGAAGATCGAAGCGACGATGCCGCGATTTTCTAATAAGAAATCTTCGAAATGGGCAATTAACGAGGTAAGAAGTCGAATCTCTCGAACGGTCCCGAATAAAGTCGGTAATAGTATGGTCCGTGGTGCCTTTTAGAGGTCGCATTCATGGTCTCTCTTCTGCTCGTAACCGGTTTGAAATAATTGAAGGAAAGCTGATTAGCATAGCAGTAGCGAAAGGGCGGCTTTTCTGCTCCTCCGATACTTATTGAGGAACCGTGTGTTTTTCATCACCACTCCGAAACTCATGACGAGCTTCTCGGTTTTCTCATTAATGAAGGATATCCTCTTGCCCAGGAACATTTTTATTTATAATATAATTATCGTCAAATGGGAACATTTAATCCGACATTGCTGGTAAGAGGTAGAAGAAAGAAAAGGAAGCACTGGTTAGATAATGACTACTAATTGAGCCGCTTCTTCAAGGTCTTCCTATTTATTGTGAAATACCTTAAAGAATACTTATTTTAAAGTTATGTCTTTTTTTATATGTATATAACTGCTTTTGTGGTTATCAAAATTAATTGTTTTTCAAATTGAATAATTTTTCAAGATAAATGATTTTTTATTGTAAATAAACATAATAACTTTATGTTAAATATTGTGTTAAGTATTGTAGCAAATAAAAAAATATTGAAAAAAATCATGATTTAACTTTCATTTATGTACATATATATATATAGGAAGTGAGTTATGACAATGATAGGTAGTATGATTTCTGAATGAAAAAAATTTAATGTTAGAGACATGTTCGTGTCAGTTTGCGAATGTCAGTTGTTCACTTTCTCTGATCTGCTTGTTCATGCATTAATGAAACAAATAAATTACGAAAACTTAATATAACGCTTCGAACTATATCAAATCATTGTCATAATTTATATGTGCAACGTAGACAAAAGTAATTTATAATAGAAATTATTATATTAATTTATTATGCTGTAATAATATTATATTACATTTAATTCAAAGTTCAAAATAACCAGAAACTGAAGAAAAATATATATAAGTAAATAATAAAATATTTAAATATTTATTTTTTCCATAACCTAAAAAAATATATTTATTATTAACAAGACGATTAATCTTTCTTTCTCATTCCTTTCAATCTTGTTACATATTACACCAATCACATTCTATATTTCAACAAGAAATCTCATCGATATCTATCTATCTATGATTCAATATCATTTTTCACGTTAATGTCTGACGAAATAGAATCTTAGATGACCCTTGAGGTTAGTCTCATAAAGATCTTCAAGATGTTAAATAAAAAATGCATTTCAATATAGAACATACCAGTAAGTAATTCAGGCGTATAATCTGGTGCACGCTCGATGCTACTACAATTCCATCTACGGTGTCGAAATGTTTGCTGACATACTGTTGAAGTATCCCTCGCCGCTTGTACCAAGCTCGGCATCACATCTGGCGTGGCTCTGCACGCTCTTGCCTGCTTTCTCTCCAAAAGCCCTGAATTTTTCGCATTTGTGCAAGCCTCCCTTGTCCATATATACCCATCTTCGGTACGGCCAAGAGCTCTGGAATTAAACCAATAATGATTTCATCGATACATTTCAACGAAAAAAAAAGAATGATTATTCGTTATATTCCAGTCCAAATTTACTTTTTCTGATATTTTCAAGTTAAGTAAAATAAGTAACCGGTAAAAGCATAGTTAATTAAAGTTTTGTTAAGAATTTCATTTATACTAACCTAATATTATAAAATTATTATTCAAACCCACATTCGTTGCTTAAATGTTTTTATTCACAAACTTTTAAAATTCTTCTATGCTCAAAAAATAATTCTAACTCTCTTCTATTTTTCATTTCTGCAAATAAAAAATTTTATTCTCTTTCGTAAATTTAACCATATTCTCTTTAATTCTTACTCTCGAAAGTTAATTGATAGCAAGATCATGCAATCGATTTAACAAAGATCGATATGGAAGATCCAGCGCGAATAATCGAATAGAAAACTCGAAGAATCGTGAAGAATCTTTTCTCGTGAATAATCGAATCGAAAATCGAAATTTTAAATTGAAAGTTCATTATGGAACGACTTTGATATTGGACGGGTGAATCGTTCATATACAATTCGGGCAAGAATCGTAAATCAGGGGTGAATTTCGAAAATTATAGGGAATGAAGCTGAAAGGTGGGTTTAAGCGGTGCGGGTGGATACGTGCACCATGGCGCAAACCATATGGAGGATAATTACGGACACCTGAAAGTCGAAATGGTTCAAGCACGGATACGTCTAGACGTAACAGCCCTGGGAATGGTCGACTCGCCAACCCCGTGTCAGCCTACCCTCGAAATTACCCTATCAAAAGGCCATTCCTCTAATTCATTATTCGCTTACTGATTGCCGCACCGTGGCGCTGCTGTCGTTTCCAAGATGCCGTGTGCGTCGTTATGTGTTTGTCTCCGTTCATGACGCTCGAAGCACGGGACAATCGTAAATGTTCGCGTTTCCCGTTCCTACGGGATTTATGTTCTCGTTGCCTCCGATATCAACTACTTTTTCTTGTTCGTCTGCAACGCTCGTTTAACACGTTGATTGTCGCGTCACATATAGGGTGTTTCCGAAATCGTGATATAATATTTTTTGGTTATATTAAACGCTTGGTTATATTAATTGTTGTAGAATCAAGTTTAGAAATTTTTAATTTATATTTAAATCTCTATGTATTTTAAATATTACTTGTCTTTTTAATACTATACGTTAAAAAGATAGTAAGTGAAATTAATTTGAAAAGGAATTGTTTGATATTTCTACAGAATTACTTATCCACTTATGTGAAAGTGACATATATCATGAAAGAAAGGGAACTCAATTTTTTTTGTCAATGGAAAAAAGAAGCAAATATTTCACTCGTTTCAATTTATTTCACTTGTTTCAAAACAGATTTGGGAAATACATTTCTCGCACATGGTTCATTATCAATTCATGCATCTTGAAATACGGATATATATAAAAAACTAATTGCATTTTTGCATTGCTCGTCGTTTGCTCAATTTTGCACTATTTTCAAATTTAATCATCAAATTTGTTTCTACAATTACAATTGTGTAATTTATATATATATATATTTTTTATTTTATAACTAAAATTATTCCTTTGTTTTAGAATTAAGATAATTTAGTGTATCAAAGAAAAATAAAAAATTAAGTGATTGTTTTATTAATTTAACTACTTTTCATGCAATGAATCAACATCACAGCATATTTTCTTCTCCTTTTTATTTGCATACATAAAATTGCATTGCATTTCATCGGAGACTTGGAAAAAAATAAGAAAAATTACAAATATGACGCGACTAAAACAAATTCAGAAGAAGGCAGATTCAATGTTCTACAAATGACACTTGAAAGATTGGCCGTACAATTATGTAAATTGCTTGTATGAAACATGTTGGTTGATAAGCAGTAATTATTTTAATGTAAGTGTAAGATTTGCTATGCCTGTTTTCAACTGTTTTTTCTTTGCAGAATATGATTGACAGAATTAAAACAAGTAATTTTCATTTTCTTCACTTCGAAAATTCTAGGATATAAAGGATATTTACAATTAATGTTTTTCAATTTCGTTCATGAAGGTTGATAAATTATTCGATGATAGTAAATACTGTGACAGAGACTGTCCGATATCCAATTTCTGCACTGTTCACGCCTAGATTTGTTACGAGTTATTATTCACACAGTATATATCATGTCGATAACCATTTCAATTAGCCAATGAAAGCATTTTCGAGGCAATCTCACAGCCAAGATCTTGTTTCGCGAGACCACCTGGTATGCAACAAGTCCGACAACTTGTAGACAGAGTCACGAGTGAAGAATATATCGCCCCCTATCTTATTTGTATACGATCATTATGGATTATATTGATGTATTCAGTACCTTTACGAAAGTCTTGCTCAGTGACATTTGTTACAAAAGGCACACCCTCGATTTTAAATACTGTATTAGGCAATTTATGGAGAAACACAAGGTATCAAATTTATAAAAATTTCTTTTTTATATCATAATCATAAAAAAAAAGAATTTATTAAAAAATATATTTAATCTTCTTCGAATAGGAACAAAGCAAAAAAAAATTATTTAATTAATGTTATTTAATTAATGTAATAATACACACATAAAGAATTAATATATATATATATTATCATATTACCATAATTTATCACTATCATTCTATTAAAAAACAAGTTAATTTTCTCCAAAAACGAGCGTACCTAATTTTAATAACCAGTTTGCCTGCTGAAACATGAGGCGTAAATGCGATAACACGATCGAATTCGTGCGAATAATTCGTGGAAGTTATGCTACCGGTTCCTTTATTTCCTTGGAATCGATCGAATCGGGAGCCATGAGCTTTTTCGCAAAATGTTTCTACCCTAAATTGGCGCGAAAACTATAAATCGAAGCGGATTTGATCGGTCTCCTTTATGCGATCCATTATACAAAACTGTAATGTATAAGGAACAAACTTATCCCTCGAAAGAAGTTCATGGTCGTTTACGGTATATATGTAGGTGCATTCTTATGAAAATGCAGTGAGCTCCAATAAAACTGCGTGACGTACGTTTCGAAACGGCCAAATGGGCAAGCATACCGGTGTCGGATGCAATTTTGAAATTCGTTTTGACTCGTGGAATCGTAAAGTAATGTTTTTACGGGGCTGATAATAGGTTGGCTCCTACGATTCTTGTGGTCTCTCGTGTGCGGCCACCAGTCCGTTTTCTGTCAAAAATGAAACGAAACTGAAGTCTTCGAGTTCCGTTAACGTTAGAATGCGGTCATTTCCTATTCTTTTTTGTTCTTCCTCGTTAATAAATTATAAATGTTTACAGTAGATATAAAGAATACATTATTGTATTTGTTACAAGATTTAAATATTAATTGTTTAAAATATATTAAGATGATATATTAAAAAATGAAACAAAGTTACGACAAACTATTAAACTTCTAAAATACATACAATTTCCTAATATGAAATATGAAATTTACGATTGAAATATTCAAATATTACACTTAAATATTTATAGTATTTCTATAAATATAAACGAGAAATATACAACAGTATTACTTTGTGTAAGGATACAAAAGAAATTGAAATCATTAATGAACGTGGCAATAATCGATAATATTTTAACGAATTGAACGAAACTATGGCGAAAATACACGCGAGATATCGTAATTTTCCATATTCGGTAGCAATTTAAATGATGTCTCGTTGATATTGATATTCCATTGATACTTTTATCGTCTGTTACGTCTGAGAATTCTTGTGGGAGGATCCATGCAAAGATATACATTATGGATTCCAAAATTGGCTTTGACATATAGACCATAAAACACAGAGTTTACAAGCTTGAAAATAGCCCGGGTTCCCGAGGTTATTTGAATACTTAAAAACCAATCAATTCTCTTTCTTTCTCTCTTTCTAAATTTACAAGCCCATAACTAATAAGTAGAGTACTTGGAGAAATTTTATTGCTATAATTATTAATTATAACGTCATGTATACTATTATATTTTGTTATGTAAATTAATTATCCATAATTGTCCATAATAGTTTTATTTTTTTATTATGTTATTAGAAATTTTGTATTAAATTTCAATAGTCTTTTACATTAAAATTTTTTTTGTAATTTCAGATTTCTTAACACTTACGAATAGAGATACATAGTTCCTACATTTTCTCCTGTATGAAGAGCATCTAACTATGTGATAATACCTGTTACGTTTCGCACAAATCATGCAACAGATGATTTATGAGCAACAAATCCATGATAAGTATAACGCACGCTTATGTGTAGATTTATAAATACCAACATCCACGCGTTTTTATAAATTCAACATTAATCAATGACATTCGTGCAATTTATTATAAGTCGATTGTTAATCTCTCTAAGGAGCCTCCTAACCAATTTCACCAATTTTTAGAAGAGGCAAGGTATTTAAAAAAAACGATGGTTTTAATTATAAAATAATTTCCTTAATTTCTAGCTAAATGATTAATGAATTTCTTCGTTTAAATTGTTCGCTATCCCGTTACTTTCGATTTTAATATTTCAACGGGAATGTAATGAAGTTGAAGATCCTTTACTTCTTCGTATATCGTATATTATATATTAAACGTTTTTCAACTTGACAAGTTAACAAACATTTCATTAAATCTTCTTAAATATCCTTTACCTTCATTCATTCGAATTATTTCATTTTTAAATAGCTCATTTAGCTTCGTGAAAATTATTAATATCACTTTAAAAATTAAAATTGAAATTGCGTGTGAATTAAAAATAATAATTTAATTAGATCAAAAATCCAATCACAAAAGAGAATTTTCATAAAAATTTTAATTATACTTTCCAGTGCGCTTCGTGTACTCAAGATTTATCCACAAACCGTATTAAAATTTTCTCCCTAATGCAATGCTTTCCTACGAGAAAGGAAATTTTTTTCATAAAGGCACAATTAAGAAACCGAGCCTCGTAAATTTTCTCGGTAAGGTCGGCCCAACGAGAGCACACGCATCTTTTATAGGCCTGGACGTGACAGAGGGATCGATGTACGATTCCGGTCGTCGTATACGGCGACAAATCGTGTTCACGACTTCCGATCTCCCAGCTCGATTCGATTACCCCTCCGCGCCGGTGTCGATAATTATAAACAAAAGGGGAAAAGGGGGACAGAATGATGGC